TTTTCGAGATGCAAGCTTATTGCTTGAAAGCGACCAAAGATAACTACTTGCAATTATATTTGTTATTAGAATCAGATTTCACAGAACGTGTGGACTTAAATAATGTTGCAAACTCAATTCAGTTAATCGGTCTTACTTGCAAATTGAGGGGAAATTTATCCTTTTTGATCTAATGGAGTGAAATATAATTTACAAAAACGTTTTCTCCTTAATAAACCGCAGGATTCTCAGGCTAGCGGGAGTTTATTCTTAACGAAAACCGGAGCTGAAGAAGAATTAAAATACAAAGGAAAATTTCATTTTGTTTGATTAGTGGGAAGAACAAAAGCCCTTGTAATTTCTCCATACACAAAATCTTTGTCGGTTTCAAAGTATCGAAACGAGAAAACATATGTTTTTCGATGACAGCTAATCCTTCAAAATCTTCCGGTCCCTGCATTTCATTGAAAAAGACGTTAAGTTTCATTAAGCAATGCCATCAAAATATGAAATGTTTGCATTGTAATTTGGAAGACATACTCAAGATTTCTAACAGTCTTTGCCCACATATCCTGTTTTTGTATAGCCTGGGTACATTTCCATAAAACCCTTTAAAACCGCACTTGAGCGATTGAAATGGGTTGGCGAATTCCAGTTTCAATTTTGCAAGCATTTTGTCTTATGTTTTTATAATGTTCTGTCCTGATTTCACCATTAAATAATCTAGCGATCAGACACATATCGAAGTGGGAAGCTTTTTATTTTCGAAAAACTATCTTAATACGCTTGGGGTATCTTGTTACCCGACCAGAGCAGGGTAATCTAGGGATTATGTTCTCAGTCGATATGTCACTTACCGCCTCCGCGAAACAAAATGCAATTATACTGACGCGTTTGCTACACGCAAAATCAATGAGTGACACACTAGTTTATTTCACAGAATTCTACAGGCTTTTAAGACGGTGTAAGTTTGTGGAAATTGACCGAAGTATCTTTTGTGGCCAACTAAATGTCTTAATGTAACGGTTGCCTAATTAAATGTGTTATGAATGACATTCAGCTAAGACCCGCAGGTGCTACTGACGGCTTCAGAACAGTATAAAATAAAGATCAATTTAACCAAGAACAACTAGTGTTAACGCGAGCGGAGAAATCGATACTTTCAACGTTGAATTGATCCGAGGGAGTGAAACATTCACCACTCTACCAGCAGTATCTTATAAGAAATGGCCTTCAAGCAGCTTGCTCTACTTCTCACTCTCGCATCATTATGCTGTGAGTCATGGTTGCAATTTCATTCAATCTTTGTGTACCTTTAGAATCCTAAAATAACGATACAATCTACCTCTTATAATGAGAAAATGGGAAAAACAACGTAGGGTGGCATTGAATCCAGGCAATTGTTTTCCTTTCTTTTTCGATTACGAAGGAAACTACAAAGAATCATATAGAAGAGCAGTTGTAAAAGCTAAAAATTGAAAGAAAACGTAACGATCACACAATGCCAGTTCGTGTTTACCCTATATTTTATGAAGTAATTGCGAGATTGCTTTTCCAATTTGATACTAACAGACTTCGAAACGCGCCCATCCGCAGTTTTAGATTGGCAAGAAGAAAGACATTTTTTGATGGTGGATATCCCTTAATGCAAAATTTGAAACAAGTTTAATTCGTGTGAGCTGAATGCGCTTGTTTTTTTTCCGCCGTGACTTCTTCAAATCCAAACGAAAAACTTGCCTCAAAAACAAATATAAGGAAGGGCCTTCACTTTCGACAGAGCAGGGTTTTTTTTTCTGACAGCAAAGGTGTCAAATTGAATCATTTGATAGGAAGAAATTAGTTCGCAAGATCGTGATAGAACTATTGATAAATGATAGAGAATTGAATCAAAGAAAGGAGTCGCCGACTGGCATTTGGATTGAGGGAAGAATATTCAGTCATGATCCAACAGTGCGAGTGTTGGAAGATATCTATGAGTTGCACTGCCTACGATATTGTGGTAGATTATTATCAATTCAAAACATATATGGATCGTGGTTCTTGGACTTATTTTCCCGTTCTGTAACTAGGAACTTTGTTTTAGAGTTATTCCAGAAAATGTTGCTGATTTGCATGACACATAAAAAAAGAATGAGTCAGTTCAAGTCATTGCCCGGTCATCTTTTGAATAATTCATTACTTCCAGAGCAATTTCAGCGTTTTGCTTGCAAATGAGACAAGAAACTAAAACCTTGATTACATAGGCTATTAGTGCGGATAACTTGTCTGAAAAATTAAACATACATTAACCGTATTCAGTTTCTTTTAAGGTATTTAAGAAGATATTTACCTTACTTCTAGGAGGAAATCGAATTAACTTGATTACTTCGCCATTGGAAGTTTTTCATCAAATAAAACGCATTTTAAATTGGACTTGAATTTTGAAATAACTGATCCTNGCAGACGAAAGTAATAGTTTGTTTTGTGATAAATCTAAGACTGATTAACACAACTAGAAATCAGTGTAAAAGAGAATAATGAATTACTGCCTCCTTCTATATAAACATCCAATGTACCCGAAACGAACATTTAGGATGTTTCACCTTCGAGAGATTTCATAGTTTTCATAGTTTGACTAAATCAATATATGGACTCTAAGTTCTCTAAGGTAATTATCACATGCAGTATTTTAATTACTCTGGTAAAATTTGGCGTCGACTGCGTCATAAATGTCATTGAATCCCAGGGTCGACAAAGGATATATTTAAAAAAAAAAATCAAAACATTTTAAAGGTGTCATTGTCTAGTTTGACTAGTCACATAATTTTCTCCACGACTCTGCTGCGTATTTTCTTAAATGATTATCTTTATTAATTTTTAGTGGCAGTTCCTGTCTGGGACGATCAACCAATGCGAAAACGAGGTGGTAAGTTTTTCTGCTTGCAATGTGTCGACACCGCTTCGTTGTTTTAGTTATACGTGAGCGTGCGAGAACGATCGCCGTGGAGGCGTCTTTTTCTTTACCTAGCCCCACCGTCTAACGTTCTTGCTCGTTCCAGTTCCACCCCTTTCCTCACACCCAGCGTGTGCGGTTTTTATTCTGCTTGAACTCTGGATCATCTTAATAAGAGGAAATAAAAGGTCTGTGAACAATCCCATTCAAAAAAATCTACACCAGAAACGTAGACTATTTATCTCCTGCTTCGCGCTAACTTTTTCCCTTTAAGCTCGGATTGATGTAAATTTATAATAACGTTTTAAAGTTTGAAAATTCACGATTTAATTTCAGTTGGCGCATGTGATCAGGGTGTAATAAAAAAGATGGCTTCCTTTGGTGTAGATATATCGAAGTTAGAATGCTTCACGCAACGAGGTAAAACCAGCTTAATTTCGCATTTTCACGTTTAAAATATTTAATTTTCAAACTGAAGTTAACTACGCAATTTCTCATCCGCAGTTCGCCGTTCTTGCTGTGCGGCCGAGTGCGCCTGGATGGCAGAGGAGTTGGGAGTTGAACCGAGTTCTCTAATTTGTCCCACATGAACAGAAGGACAAATCACTGAACACCTCACCGGCTACGTGACTATTAACCATCACCTCTGAATGCTGCCCTTATTTTACCTGTTGCTGGTAGTTGTAGTTCTCAGTTTTTCTCTAAGCCAGTGGACTTAAAGAAATCATGAATAATACTGACAGGTCTCCAAATCCTCGCGAAAATGCGCTCTTTGGAATGCAAAACATTTCGCAATTAATTTAGTAGACACACTTGTTTTCTGACTTTTATAACAACATCCTTCTTCTTTTCAATCACAAATGGTTATAGTTTTTATTGTTAATGGTAACGAAAATATAATGCAACTTATAAAGAGAACATTTCGTTCAAAGGAGATTTTATTTTCGTCGTCAAAATAAAGTGTTTCGCATTTTAATGGCGCGTAGTCTAACGGTTAAGCTCAAAGACATACAGAAAAAAAGTCAATAAAAGTTATCAAGTTTATTTCTGTGGCAGTTTTGAGTGGCTGTCGGGCAGCACATTGGTTCATACTTTTGATCTCGGACGAGGCTCGCTGCTCATCAGTTATAAGGTCTGGCTAAACTAGGAAACATTGTTGCGCAGGCAAATGTTTCCCAGTTTAGCCGCGCGGGAAACATGTTGCGGAAACAAATTTCGCTGCTCGGAAACGGATAATGTGTTTGCCTCAGGTCAAAAACAGTTTTGCTTCCGAAGCACATGTTTACCAGTTTAACCATCGTGAAAGCAATGTTGATTAGTTGCCAGTGCTGCTGGAGCGATCTACAACAATGGCTGACGGCGAAGTCGAAGCAGAGGAGCCACAAGCAGGTCACAGAAAAGGGAAGGGAAAGAGGGAAAGGAAATTGGAAGGACGAGGGGATAGAGTAACTCATTACCTTGTATGAGGACAGAGGCTGTTTGTGGGATGTAGGAACAAAATAGGAACAAAAGAAACGTGGGTTACTGTGCACAGCTGTCAGAGAAATATGATATCACAAGGGACGATCACAAAAGGAAATGGAAAATTCTGGGATTACAATTTGTGGGACGAGAATGTGCAAAACATTCTTCCCCAGTCTTCTTCGAAAGTCAGTTCATTATAATGCGCATGCGTGACTCTTTGTTTCCGATACACTCTTTCTTCGTTTAGCCGCCAGGGCAGCAAAACATTTGGTTTCCTTCCTGCTAATTTAGCCACCCCGGGAAACATAACAAGAAACAATGTTTTTGCAACAATGTTTCCTAGTTTAGGCAGGCCTAGAGCGATTAAATGGATAATGGGCACGTTCAACCATTCTGCATTAATGAGAAAATAAAATTCAATAAAACAAAACATTCTCCCTCCACGAAATACACCCACTTCAAATTCAATCAGCTGGTTACAGACCGGACGCCAGGAAACGTAGAATTTTGGTCATTATGCCTTGGTAATCAATACTAGACATTGCAAATTCTGAAGAATTTCAATTCTTGGGGATTAAAATCCCGAAGATTTTCTGAGTGTTATTGCCCAATACGAAAATAGCACGAAAAAAGTGAACTCGTCAGCCTGTCGTACGAGTTCACGTCATCACTGTTCCTCACGACAGCGGCGGGCTGAGAAAGGGGCTCGGCGTCCCGGTGAAAATCAGGTAGTTGTTCTTCTGACTGGTTATACCAGAACACATAAGCGTTCCTGGCTGCGCATGATCCCTTGTGACATTTCCGCTGGGGCATGGGGAACACGTCGAGAATCTTCCTTGTCACCATTTTATATTCAGCGCTGTGTTCAGCTTTTCAACCTCGTGGTATTTTGTGTGAAGCATCTCTTTAGCCTGGTGGGCGTAAAAAACGAAATCCAAGAATAAGCAACTCGTAAAATCTTAATCCAAGATAGATATAAAAAAGTGTCCCATCTCGATCCCAGAGATAATTTTCAAAGCGAAATTCCCCAGGAACGATGACGTAACACATGGCACTGTTCCCAATGATAGAAAGATACATCTCTGGCCTGTGTTGGCGATCGCTGGCGCGTGTCTCTAATGACGGCTGAGGTCAACACAAAACAAAAATGTACATTGTATTTTATGAGTGACTTATTGTAATTGTTTAGCTGCTGTTCGGGTTATCTGTGTTCTTACCTTTTCAGAGGATTCACCGTCCAGCCACTCTCTAACAAATAAACAAAATTTCAAACAATCAAACATGTCCCAAACTTAGTGATTTGACGATGGATTTCATTTCTTAAAGAAAACATAGCTTGGACAGGGATGTTAGTGAGTCCGTCAGCGACTTACAGACCGTACAAGAGATAACAGCTAACTTGGTTCAATCACATTGAATTACACACAGCGAAACGTCCATTGATGATACTCACTTGTATAACTTCACCATCGCTGGATTTTCACTTGGCTTTCGTGATCTAAGCAAATAGTAACCGAGTTAGTACGACATCACACCCAGAACACGGATAAACCAGCAAAAAACAAACATTTCTATTCTACAAACGTGTTCTGGTACTTGTAAATACGCAATTTTTTTCTGGTTGTGCTACACATTTCCTCCATTGATGGTGTGATAGGAATAAATAAAACATTCTTTTTTAATAGAAAGCGTTGTGATATAACCTGAGCGAGTTGTACAGTTCATCTAGTCGACTTATTAGCTCCTTTGAAGTTTCCCCGTCACCAGGCCTTATCTGACCACCTCCGTTGAGACAGCCTGGAGGGATAAAACGAACGCACAATCATTATTAAGTTCAAGGCCTAAGACTTCTTTGTAAGGTTTTCAATAAAGCCTGGTTCTCATATCCCGTCGACCTACCTGCGACGTAGTCGCCGATTACAACTGACAACGTTCGGCGATCTGTTCCAGTGGGTCCCCGGCGCATCTGCGATGGATCGCCGACGTACCCAAATTTGCGCGAAAAGCAAATCGAATTTCGCAAGTTTCAACCATTTTACCTGTAAATATGGATCGAATCGTCTTACTGGAGTACGTTACGTCCGCAGATGATGCTCACATAAAATATTTTCATCGTCGACAACCGCCGGCTTGCCTGCGAAGTTGAACTCCGCTCAACTTCGCAGGCAAGCCGGCGGTTAATGCCTGGGGTAGATTATGATTCGGCGATAAATGTTTACGTATGGCGTAACGGTGTCCCAGGTATGTCGGCGGCATACGAGAACCAGGCTTAACCTTCAAAACATTCAACCACACCAAAAGCACGCGCAGAAGACTCTGGCACCTTTAAATTAAAAGAAACCTGAAAATAATAGTTTACTACGATAAAAAAAAAAAACACCAGCTCCAAAAAAAATCGCGAAAAAACTTTTATTAAAAACATTTAAGAAATTGTTAAAAACGGTTAAAAAATACACGACGTTTCGACGTTCTCGGACGTCATTATCAAGTACAAAAAAACATTGTGAATATACTATAAATAGAAGAAAAAAACACCCAAGAGATTATAGTAAACCATAAAGGAACGAGGACGGGTAAGGATCAGGCTAAACTTTTCAAGGTGCGCAAACTGTCAGGTAGGTCCTTTACCGAGCTTTTTCACAATATTTGCTGATCCATAATAAATTCTACGGAAGTAAGGAAGGTAACTGTTTTCGGAAAAGCGTGAAAACTAAAAATACCGAAAGCAGTTATTGTTGAGATCTCACCTGACGGGCACGCCATGACCTCAACAAAATGATACGGGGACTTGCCACGCTTTATTTTCTGAACCAGATTCTGTAAATAAACACAAGAAGAATTATATGCCGGCAAGGTGTGTGGATTAATTTTCAGCAGTAAACTTTATAAAAGCAGCAAGAGATGACGAAGACACAGCTTCAGTAAGGTGGAGAACCTCAGTCTCCACATTTGCTATGGTTTGTCCTCGTTGTAACACTCTCAAATTATTCTAGAGAGTAACGCAAGAGTAGCTGCAATGTAGTCTCCGTGATCCCTCAAAATGACATTTTAGGCTGGCAAAAACCAACCTTTTTAAGATCTGAAGGTTCTTCATTCTAGAGGATTAAACAAGTGAACTCCTAGGGCTGGACTAACCTGAATATTTCTAAAACCATAAGCTGCCGCGAATTTAAGGGCTTCTTTTCCGTCCACCTAAATAGTGACAAAAAAAGAAAAACATGGCATGAAGAATTTTCTCAAACGTAACGACAAATGCACTTGAATATTAACATTCATCTACAAAAACAATATATTTTTCCCTCCTTCCCTTCCTTTCCGCTTTGGAGCTTGAAGAATCACCCACTGTCAGGCACAAATACATAGCCAGTTTACGCAATTCACATCGTGTCAATCAAATCGTTTTTAATCTGCTATACATGCATGTAGGAGGTGTTTCAAGCTGTACAGAAACAGAGCTACAAAGACGAATGAGAAACTAGATGAGTATCATGGCAGAACACAAAGTGGCACATTACCTGTAAGGTAACTTCTTTGAAGTCTTTGTTTCTGAGCGTCTTGTAAGTTATGTTGTCTACATCCTGGCCAAATAACTAAGAAAAAAGACAAACAAGTATGAGAATAGAAATATATCTAGACCGAAAAACAGTCATTATTTTGCTTTCAGATATCGATACGAGACGAGCGATTTCGTGGAAGGCGCCGAGAATAAAAAAAGCGCTTCATTCCACGAGCTCTTTCTGGATGAAATGCTCAAAACTAGTGGCAAACAATTCTTTCCTAACCGTGCAAACAAAAAGAAGAATGGGGGAAACAAAACTGTAAAGGTCGCTGCGGTTCCATTTAACATTAACAGGGAGGGTAACACACGTTTGCGGAATCCATAAAGTTAAGCTAATACGAGACAGGAGTTACACACTTAGTATATGTTTTACTGACATAACAAAAGACAATGCTTTTGAATTTAATACAAAGGCATTTATTCGTGTTATTAACCTCAGACTTTGTGAGTGAATTTGACTGAAAAATGAAGTTCCATAACAGAACAACTACTTCTGTCATGACTCTACAAACAGTATGTAACTTGCCTCTTTAGCAGCGAATGTGAAGATATGTTCCAGGTAGCCTCCCTGAAATAGAAAAATTACTTGTAAACATCTCTTTTGATTTCGATCAAAGCTTGTCTTAACACCATTTGGTGATTGTTTTTGACGATCCTTAAACTAGGTTTCCGTTATGAACAAGGTTTTAAAAATATCTTGGTTAAAACCGGCTTTGATCAACAGCTCTCAAAAAAATCTTACCGAGCCACCTCCAGAATGGCTGACAAGTTCACTTCCATCAACACTTGAGAACCTAAAATAGGCCAGAAAAGAGCAGAACATCAATGGAGTACTTCTTGAAATTAATTTTCGTTATAAGTAATACCACACACAAATGTTGATTGATTTGCAAAAAAATCAACTTACAACTGATCCAGGTCTGCATTCTCAAGCTCGCTGAACTGCACACCTTTTTCCTCAAACATCTTTTCCAGTTCAACTGTGCGTGAGAGACATAACCAAAAACATTACACGAAGGAAAGCGAAGTTTCCTTCGAATAAAGCGACAAGAAGAATCGGTACCCCCTCCCCTCCACCCTAGGTGAGATGCAACTCAACGGAAAATCCTCTCCCAGTATTTTCACAACTGAGTTGTCCCAACAATTCGCGGGTACCCACTGGCAACTCCTTGGTGGACAGAGCCTAACCTTGTGAGAGTCCAGTGTCTTGGAAGAAGACTATAGATAAATTAAACTCAGAGACCTAGTGTACGGTCTAAACTAAGAGTCTTGTTTTGTAAATAAAGAAGCTCGCGTAAAAGCCTTCGCTTCATATCAAAGAACAAACTTGCTTCATTTTTGAGGTACGGATGAAATTAAATTTAAAATGCTCCAGTGCAAACAGAAGTTAGACGTTATTTCACAAAGAAATTTTGTCCGATGAAATCACAGGTTAAAAACAAAAACGACACAGTGCAGTCCATTACATCTACATTAATGTAACGGTATCCCACTTATCTGATAAGTTGAGTACCGTGGAATACGTGGATATTTACAGAAATTTCAAAGCTCACTGGGTATATAAATGTTTCGCCACTTTCGCTATTCAAAGTGGCGAAGAAAACTGCGAAGTGGACAATAGGTCAACGCGCAACTTTTTAACGTTATATGCAACTTTTTAACGTTATATGTCCACAGTGTGTTCATTTAGATCGCGCGCTAAACATTCGAATGACAAAGTTCTCTTTATGACGTCAAGTTAGTTTTTTTTACTTCATTCTTCGCGGCGAAATGTGTTTATACGCGCCGCGTTGACAGAAGGTAATAATTTGTTACAAAAGATGAAACCGTTTTGGACTTGCGTGTTTTTAATCCTAACTTTGTTAGGAGCCTCATCTGGTTCAGGAAATACCAAAGAAGAAGGTACGTTTTGCAAGTCATTTAAAACAATTACCACTACTCTTAAGACAAACGAAACAAATTTCTGAGAGCACAAAACTCCACATTTTGGAAATTGTTGCTAGTCCTTGAGGGCGGTACAATGAAGTGTCCACAGACACGCACAGGCCTTACATTTAACTTATGGTCACATTTCCAGGGGCGCGTTTCTCGAAGGTCTCGAAATGTTTTCGCACGCGGAAAGCCGTAGCAAAAGTTAGATACAGATTAATTAAAAATGGCTTTGCGGGCCCGAAAAGTTTCCGGGGCTTTCGAGAAACGGGCTTCAGGCCTTTTCTATGAAAGTATTTGCTCTCATTGATCGTCTTTTTTCCTTTAGATTACTGGACAAACTGGACATGGCAGAACACATTTGACTTGATGATCATTCCATGGATGCTTGATTACTGCGCCATCGCTTTGTACCTTACTTTTCAATACACCAGTGAAACAATAAGACTTACGAGGTTAGAATATCCCAGCTGTAATGGCAGTGACAAAAAGCTTAATTAAACGGTTAAGCCGGCATTTTTAGGAGATGATTGAGTAGCTGAAGATTCCCTGACATATCAGTAGGCATTGTTTCGTACGCTTGCTTGGGCACACAATCAGGGGCTACTGAAACACCAAGAGAAGCGCTTAGTGACAAAACCGCGCTGACATGAAACGTGTTTGAATTAATCTTGTCTAGAATGCGGGTTTGAATCGCAATCGCCTCCCAATTCTAAGGCCATCAAACTCTAAGATTCATCACCGTGACCAAATTCGCCATGACAAGACTTGTCTGTTGTCCCGATATCCTCCGATATCAAGTCACTGGTCTGATATGACCCGAGTTATGGTCAAATTTGAGTGCGGTAAATACCGTACGTTTCGGCGGCACATCAGGCTCGAATGCTTTTGCTATTTGTCTTTTGGCCGGACTGCGTCTTGCCAAAAGACGAACCACTTGCTCCTCCAAACTCGTCTGATATGCCGCCCAGGCGTGCTAGAAAGGTGCGATTAAGTATTAACTGCACCAAAAATGGGACCAAAAATAGACCCGTATCATTTCTTAGTCAGTGGTAGAAAGATTCATGGAGAAATGAGTTTTCAAGGAAATTTTCAATACACTACCTAAACAACACAAAAAGTGCCAACGCCTTTGTACTAGTAGCTGTTCTTTTAACAATTTTTGCTGTTACTTTTCTGTTTTTCAGATTACAGCGCGACATTAACCGTGAGTGGTTCCACCAACTTGAACTTGAGCGCCAACGAGCAGCTCAGCCGAAACCATGGCAACGGAAACCGAAAAAGAAACAAAGAAAGAAGCAAGGCGAATGGTGATAGTAGCAAAAGATATCCACAGATGAAAACATTGCGATTTATACATATGTTTTAGTTTTGAAACAATGTACTCCGACATAGCTCGACTTTGAAATAAAACTCTTCTTCTATTTGCTGTACAGTTCTTATAAAGGCTTGACTTTTTATTAAGGCCTGAAGACGTTTTCCCACATCAAATCAACAAATAGTCATGAAACAGTTAACTACACGCTACAAAATACTCAGTTTTGATTGGTCAAAAGTATAAATCACAGACAAGCATCACACTGGCTTTCGAACCACCAGAACTTGGCGACCAATTTAATTGCCTGCCTGTACACTGAATGGTTTTCATTTAAGTTTCAAAAGAAATTCACGTTTGCTTTCGTTTTGTATCACTTCGCCAAGCGATTGGCTAAAAAAACTCGTGCCACTTTGTCATCCAATCAGAAGTAAAACCAAAAATCGTGACTCAATTACACACGTTTTCCCGCGCTTTGCGTCAGCCACATGCATCTGCTATGAGTTTTGATTGGTTCACTGGATTGTCTGTGTCTTTTGTGATTGGCTAGGGTGATTACTTTGGTTTTGATTTGACCACACTTATACAAAAACCGCTCCAAATCTCCTGACATGCCGTGACTCCCTCTGGTGTCTTGTTACAGCGTACTTGTCGTTACTGCTGCTGTGACCTCTCCTACAGACCCTGAATTACCCCTTCTTATGCTGTATTGAGCCCTCTTACCCTGTGACAATTCCCCCCCCCCCCCGCCCATCCCTTTTACGTGGGACTTCCCATAAAAGTGATGGGGGGGGGGATTGTCTTGCCTTGTAGGGGTTAACATTTGTGGTTTGCTACTCCTTGATTTTAAATCTAAAAACAACGCCGGCTGTTAAAGTCAATCTGGCGTCCCGAGTCGTTTAGGGCGTTATGCTGCGAAAACGTCGGTTGCAACGACTAATCAAAAAAGAATTTGCTCATAAACAAGTTTCTAGCATACACATGTATTAGAGGAATTCCTTTCAAAATATCCGATTATCACCGCGTCAATTATACGCAAGAGTTATACTCCGCAGCCACAACGTCAGCAATAAAGAAAAAGTTTAGTAATTATTTTGTTCGAGGAACCTGCTACATACTGTAACTGTTTACTTTTCACAAAATAAATCATATGAGAGATAGAACAAAAGGGCATACTTGTAGATATAACACAGTCCACATCTCTTGTGCGATATATGTCGTTATAGAAGTCCTCTCTGGAGGCTTCAAGCTTCTTATCGTAACATGGCATAATCGTCACATGGTAAATATCATCTGGTCTGTTGAGATAATACCACAGTTATTTCACATAGTCATGGGGGAGATTATAACAATGAAAGAAAACGTGGAAAATTTTAAACTTACGTTGAGTTCAATATGTGTAAAATAATTGACATTACTGATTTTACCTTTTCCCTAGTGATGCCCCAAAGTAGTTCTTCACTAAAGAGCCCATGATTTGCTGGGGAGATTTTGTTGTGCTTAAATGAAAAACAAAATACTGATCAGATAACTGACAAACTCCATTGAAACACACAAGACAACACTCACTCATGAAACAACACCAAAGCCATGGATCCGTTACCAAATGAGGGGAAAAAATTGAACTATGGTAGAAAGATCTGATTTTTTGTCAGGAAAGGGTAGGGGAAAAGGTTTGAAGGTCTGTGAATAGCAGGTGAAGCTGGTGTGATACTGCGTGAATGCTTTGTCAGCTTACAAACTGCTACAACAGACAAGTTACCTTTATCAACTTCTGGTTGATAAACAGCAAAGAGTTTCTCTTGCCTGCCGACACAGTCCAACAGTTTCTTTCAATGCTAATACCTTTGTTATTAGCAACCCAGACCTGCCAGATTGAAACAACTGGCAAGACCGTTTGGCCCACAGAATTCCTTGTGCAAGTAAGTAAGAGTGATAATAGGGCATCTTTACCTGATGTAAGGTAAAATGTAGCTACCATGAGTCTTTTCAGCATAACATACCCAACCTAGCAAGGCAACAAACAAAAAATGAAAAAAAAAAATAAAAAATGATCCTCAGCTGAGGTTGTTCAAACACTGGATCACTGTAAATAGGGGGAAGGGGGCACGGGAATCATAAACTGAAAAAAATACAGGTGCCCATTGGTAATTTTCTAAAGATCTCCTAAAGGGTACCAAAATCCTGTTTTGTGGACGTGGCCCCAATTCATTTTCACCCCTAAGAGGTACTGATTCTAAAACAAAACATTAACTGACAATATGACAATTTCTTTAAAATAGTGCTAAATTATTTTATTGATGAGTCATCAATGAGACAAATAAAACTCAGTTGACCAGCAAATAGATCGTGTTTCATTTTCTGGCTCATTATACCCCCAAAAGGGACTGCGATAACTCTAGTGGTGGTCATTTTCAATTTTAACTCATAAGAGGTGTCACGACACAAATGACAAGCACCCCATGACTCTTTTATATGGGAGTAACCCCAGGTACTGGATATCACTATCCAGCAGATAAATCACTTTTTAGTGGATACCCCTGGAGGAAATCTTCAAGGATCCTCGACAATCTTTGAGGATCTTCACGAGGATCTTAATCAAAGATCCATGCCAATTCTTATGAGGATCTTGAAAGGTCTTGACAAGCAAGATCCTCAGTGATCTTCAAGGATCTTCAACAATTTTGCTTGACCAAGTCCATGCCAAGATCTTTGAAAACTTGCAAAGATCTTTACAATTTAAGGATCTTTGCAAGATCTTTCAAAGACCTTTTAAAAATCCTCAAAAGATCTTTATCCTTGAGGAACTTTAGTAAGTTTTAAAACCAGCTGTGCTTTCCAATGAACAGTGATATAGCTGATGAAAAGCTCTACTCGTCAGTGGCCAGGTCTAATGTGATACTTTTCAACACTATCTCACACACCAACAGAATTCTCACCTGGACAAGCAGATGCCAACATAGGGATGACTTCCTTCTCCCCTGATTGTTGACTCTTCAATCTCCGAACAAACTCTCTCTGACTACCAAAGAAAAACAAAACTGGTTTCACCACTGCAGTAACATGGTTAATACAGCAAAGAGACACTTTTCCACCCTTATACCCAGAGTCTTCATTTCCCTTTCTGATTGAAAGTCCAAAAGTATCAGAGTTTTGGTTAAATTCTGTATGCTTTTGCTGACAAACACATGGCTCAATTGAGTCACTGGTGTTTTACTTCCTCTCTGACTTTTGTTGTTTTGAAACTGATCAAAATCAAGCCTGTAACAGAACTCTTGCGAGTCACTAATTTTTTCAAGCTTGCGCAGTAAGAAGTGAAGACTTGAGGAATGAGATTTCACTTTTTCAAGCACCAAATTCACTGTACTGTAACTAAGTAACAAGCACTTGGCAGAGAAATAGATCAATACTTAATTCATACCAGTCAATACGTAAACTGGTTTATAACTCCAGAAATTAAGCTACAGAATCCAGTCTGAAGTAAAACACACACCGCAAATGCTTGGAAAATTTTGACCAGCACAGGAATTATATGCCAACATGTACCTACCTCTCTACAAGACTAAAATCTCTAGAAAAGGTAGTGTCAAAAACATGGTGAACTCCTGAAATTTCAGATCAAAAGAACGTTTGTTTTTACTATTCAGTTAAAATGCTGGTGTAGATTCTTCCTTTCAATAAATATTACTTAGTGTGTAGAACCAATTTTACAAGTCCAGATTTTCTTTTAATAATTTACCTTTTTAAAATGAAAATTGTGTACTTATATTTATGCTTGTCTAATAAGAAATCACTATGCAAAATATCTAGACAATAACATACTGAAGAAGAAATTAATATTTCTCCAAATGTTTATCTCAATTACACATATTTACTGCAAGGAGGAGGAAATTTGGAAACTGTCTTTAGCCAATGACAGGTCAATTAATACACTCAAATCAATATGATTATGATTACATCCACATGAAGCATTTTGTTATTTTCTTACCTAAATCTTTAAAAAATGTTGTCAACTTTTTGGCAGTCTGAAAACAAAAATGCAAAAGAAATCAAACCAAGGTTTGGATCTATCACTCTCTCATGTGGTGAAGCCATAATTAGCTATGCTAAAGCTTCTTACTTAAGCTCCGAGAAATTTCTAGCAAATTTTTCAGCCACAACTACTGACTCACTTCTGTAACATCTAATCTGAACTTTGCTGCAACTGAAGCTCGTGACTGTGGGGAAACTGAGACTACAATCACTTTCTGCCCATAAGATTTTCCTTCCTAGAAAATGAAATGAGGATTAGTAAAAAAAACTATCACTAACATCGAGAGAGTAGCAAACAAGGGCTCAAGGTCCTGTTTCATGTAACCTGCAAACAGGCTCCCAGTAACTTTAAGGTTTCCCAGTAAGTAAGGGCGGAAAAAAAAATTGGCGAGCAAAGCGAGTGGGAGTCCATGAGCGAAGCAAGTGGGAACGTGAATCTGTGAGTGAAGCGAGTGGGACGTGCTCTCCCCCATCACCAGACTGCTCTCGTCTCACCCCGCTTGCCCTAAACCACACTCAGCTAGCTTGCACTAAACCCAACTGGGAGCCTGTTCACAGGCTATGTTTCATGTAAAACCTTTAACAAAATTTGCATCACATATACTGGTCTATACTGTTAAAAATAGATTTAATCAAAAACTCAAGTACCACATTTGTCTCTTAGATACTTTACGTGTGTTATACAGTAATTTTTGTCCTCACCATGCAACACACATGTTAATTAAACTCTGTTACCCTCGTAATTGGAAATCAACAGTTGAATGTGACTCTTGGTATGTTGGGTGGCGTTGAAGCTCAATGAGCCTTGGATGAACCAGATTGATAGCCAGAGTCTTAAAAGCTGTACACAAAGAAGTAGCCTATACCTTGGCAAGTTTGTGGTTGTTTTCTATAATCTTGTACAACTCGTCTTGACTCTGTTGTGTTATCAGGACACTTTCTGCCGATGTTATACAACCACTAGAAATAAAGTTGAGATCATCATATCCTTATTTATAGTTTATTCTTAACAAGAAAAAATGAAGAAATATGCAGTTCCTTCTAGAACATGCTATAAGACATTTGGTAAGGAGAAGTTATGTAGTCGCAGCAAGTCTTCTGCCAAAAATGTTCAATGGATATTCCATACCTACAAGCCAGGCAGTCATTTAGTGTTATCTGTGCTCTTTGAAGTTTGGTCCTCTCTCCACCCTTGAAGAATATTATAACAGGTATTTTAATAACAATAGAAATAATACACCTTGATAAAGAAAAAAAAAGAAGCTAGTACATAAAAAAAAATTAGTCGCTGACCACTTATAAACTGTAAACCATTTTTTGAGGGTGTCTTAATGGGTAACCAAGCTTAAAAATAGTGCATAAAATTGGGATACCTATATTGAAAGTTTAAACCAAGTCATCGTCTGTGTACAGCAGACTTTCTCTGTAATTCTCTTCAGTGGGGCACATGCATCAAATAAAGGTCATTGTCGACTTCATTTTCCACCACAATTGAAGGGTTTCGTGCAAAAAGGGCGTATGTGACATTTTGGGATGATTTTTATTTTTTGCAGGATCAAGCTTATAGTTTTTGGCAGACTGACTTGTTTTGACATGAAAAGCATCGTTGCATAATTATTTTTGTTGATTTGTGCTTCATTTTTGAGAAAAAACGTATGCCAAAAAAGCTCAGTTTCCCAAGGGTATCTTTTGGAGATCTTTTGTTGAGCGAAAAACAAAAGAAACCATTGTTTTGCTAAACAATGAAGTCACCGAAGCGTGGTATTTGCCGCTAGTTTTATTATTCATATAATTATGCAATTCTTTTACCGCTGCTTCGTTAGCACAAGCGAATAAGGCGCTGAACTGGCTGGATGCGAGTTTGTTTTGTCATGACACTGATTCGATATGAGGTCGGCCAATTTTTTTTTTCTGGTCTATTTCTCTACTTCTTTCAAAAATCAAAACATCTATTTAAAAAAAACCGTGTTGTCGAAGCTGCTAAAAGTAACCGTTTAAGTTCGCACTGCGTCAAAATCCACCTTGGAAGGATTCGCTCCAAAAGATGCTGCGCAGAAAACTGAGTTTTTTTGCATACGTTATTTCTCGAAAACAAAGTGCAAATCAACAAAAACAATTATGCAATCATGCTTTTCATGTCAAAACAACTCAGTCTGCCAAAAATTAGCTCAATCCCGCAAAAAGTAAAAATCGGCCCCAAATGTCACATACCGGTACACTCTTTTTGCACGAAACCCTTCAATTATGACTTCAAATAAATTTTTGTATGTTCCTTTCCAAGAAGTGAATATGAGACTCTGGAGACCTTGCATTGAAAGAATATCAAGCTTATGATGTTTCCATTACACAAAGGATTATGTGAGGTTATGATTTGCAGGGACCACTTTATTTTAAAAATCCTTTAATCAGTGTTCTTTGATATCAAAACCTGCCATCTAATCTGGTGTAATCTGTATCATCATTGTGTATCATGGCGTTCATGTTTACCTCAGACAGCTGAACATAACTTCCATCATCTTCAATCTTAATTTTTGCTAACTGCTCGGGATTAAAGCAAACAAGAATAAAATTTTCAATAAAAAGCAACAACTATATATGCCAGCTTACTTATCACTAAATGATGACCATGAATGATTGACTAACCTGGCCTGGCTTTTTCTCCACCTTCACTGGCTTGATACATTCCTGTCATTAAATCAATGTTTCAGTTAGTTTAAATAACATATGTTTTGATCTTTAAACATGATACTAACTTGTGAAGGAGTGATAAAATCGTCTAAATCTGTCAACTGGAGAGCTCCGCTAAAACCGGCCGCCATTTTGTTTTTGTTTGTTTTACCACTGGCCGATATGAATATCGCGGGCTCTCACACTGGCCCTGTCTCTCTCCAATCCCCCATAATTACTCGCCTCCTCTTCCGTTTTACGTCCGCCACGCAGCAAAAACTAAACGTGATCTTTGTCGCAAAGGAAAACGAGCTTCATGCTCCAGATCAGCGTCTCCTATTTCATCTTTTCTTGAATCATTCATTCCCACCAGGTTACATGATAGATCTGACAAGAAGAGAGAGAGAGAGATTTCATAGCTTTCATACTCCGGCCCGGTTGTTCAAAACTTCAAAACACATCAGCAAAGTCCAAGATTAATGACACCTTTAAATCATGGCGGTTGATTGGAAGTGGTGGTGGTTTGGGGGCCCATGGGAAAGGCTTATAAGTAAACAAAGAGGGCAAATTGATAATTACCCCAAGGAGAAGGCAAATGAGCAAGGGGACCGGTAAAGAAGAGTTCCAAATAATCCGGGATTGAGGGCTTACTCTACTCTGTTAAGGTGGCCGAACACAGTTTTCGCGCGCGCTTTTGCTGATGCAATTCAGAGCGCGCACAAGGATTACAAAAACAAACATGCCGTCAATACAGCGATCATTTTATTTACTCAACATCCGCACTATCTATGCTATTTTTTCTACTATTGAACGCAGTGTATTGATGGCTTTAGTCTTTTATTACAAAGATATGTTAGAAAAGGTAACGATGCAA